ATAAACAATTTTACAGTTAACATAATTTAGTAACAATAGAGTAATAGAGTAATATTCACAATTCACTAAACCAAGAACCACCAACATTAACAATAGAGTAATATTTCACTAACCTAACCATACCACCACATCCTATTCTGCCACTCTTGAAAACAACCTTCATATCCTAGGTATTTTCTTATTCCATGCTATAGAATGTCATGATATGATTAACAAGTCTTCTACTGACCCCATGTTTTTCGTTTCATGATTAAGTTCTTAATTATTTGTCTCAAATCTTATTACTCACCTAAAATAAATCACATCTTCAACTGAAACATGCAAAATATTTGTGTAGGCCATCTTAGTTCCTTTTTTCTAATTACCAATTCAATGTCCTCTTTGATTTCATATTCTTTAATTTTATTTTAATTTTTGAAACCTTGTATTCATCATGTTGTTTGATATCTTGAAAATGTTTTGGCTTACTCCATTGAAAGACATCAAAGGAAGAAAGAGGTTTACATAATCTGCTATCTCTTTGAAATGGGTTTTTATGTCCTTGGATACTTTCTCAGGCATTCAAGTAAACAACTGGCAATTATAAATTGATAATCCTCATTCCTTAATTTATAATAATCTATTACAATATATGTATTACTGATTAGCTAGCATGACCAAGAATCAAGAATGAAGAATCATTGATAAAGTGATAACAGGATAATCGACCCTCACCTGATGCCCTGATTTGCTGATTGTTGTCGCTGGAGGTGGGACGCCTGGAAGGCTGCGATCGATTTTTTTTTACGACATCAAACACAATGTGATGTATTGATCGTTGTTGGCTTCCATTTGACGCTGCTTCTTCTGATGATTTTGGAATGCTTCTTCCTATGACGATGCTTCTTCCGATACATCATACATATTATTAAAAAAGATCAGGCCCCTTAAAATTATGGGCCCTGTTCCATTACCCATCTTGCACATGCCCTAAACCCGGCTTGAAGAAAATGAAAAGAGAATGTGAAGTTAGCCTTTATTACAGACATGACCTTGTATAAGAGAAAGTAGAGATGAAGTATTAAAGCAGTGAAATAGTAAAGAAGTAGGAAAAACTAGATTCATTTGTTGTGCATTTACCATTAAGTCGATTGTTATACTTTGTTCTTTTCTTATTGATAACTTATATTGTTTTGATGTATGTTTTTTGTCTAGTATATGCTCTTATTGTATCTATACAATATTTACATGATTTGTCTCTTCATCCAACTTTATTGTATCCTTTTTTCAAATTTAGATACATACTATTATGTATTCTTTATCTTATTCTCTATGTTTGGATAACCTTTTCATATTACATCACATTTTTTAGGTGTAGACACGTGAATAAGTCAATTTTATTTTTTAATCTCACTCTTTTCATGTATGTATTCTTTTTCTTGGGTTAATGTTTCATATTGCAAGAGATTATTTGATACGGACACATGAACATGACAAACTCTCTTTTTTCTTTTTTATATCGAAGGTAGTTGTTGAAAGTTGTCTCCCTACCAACGGTCGGGCTGCCTTTTTCTTACCTTCTATCTTCCTTATTTTTATGGGATTAGGGTATTGTTACTGTAATTTTTAGTTAGTTTTAAGAAGTATCCATTTAAGTGATTGGATAACACATACAATGTTGTAGATCAACCAGGGACGGATCTTAGAGGGAGCCCTGGGTAGACCGTTCTATCCCCTAAGTTTTTAGTCGCTGTAGAAATTTTTTAATAAAATTTTCGGGGTAGTGGAATTTTCTTGATGTGCTTCCCAAAAAATCTACGTGTGTTACCCCTGATATTTTGCTATGGATTCGCGATGAGAGCAACCTATTTGCTTTTTTGGGGCGATTAAGTCAATTTTACCATCTATCAACAACTTGTATACCTATTTCCATAGGGGGCGCGGAGGAAGGGGTAAAGTGGGCAGCTGCATAGAGCCCGATTTTTTTTTGGAGCCAATTGGTTTTATTATGTTATATATGTATATATATTTATTTAGAAATAAAGAAGACTTATAATAACGACAATGGTCTTTTTCATTTGGCTCGTCCAGGGCATTTAGGAAATTTAAATCCTCTAGACCGGCCCTGCCTATTTCAATGAACCAAATGAATTTCTCTTATTTCTAAAGACAAGGTGACCAAATCACAGTAACTCCTATTTCAAATCCAAATATTTTCATGCATAATATGTTGGATCCAACTGATTAGAACACAATATGCATGATGAATCCTTGGCCTAGGTCAACATGAATTCGACAATTCCAACTCCACAAACCTAGTTTTGAGCCATGGGTACGAGTTTTTGTTAATGTTACAATTTTAACCATGTTTGGTTCCAATGTCGGTTTACTTTACGGATATGAGGCCCAATCATTTGGGTATTTTGTCAAACCCCCAAAGACTTGTTCATTTGGATTTCGGCATCATTGATTAACTTAAATGGATTAACTTAATCTTCTTTGAGAAATCAATAATTGATTCGAGTATATAATATCATTTGGATCTTGACAAATGACAAGTTACTTTAAACTTATTAAATAATAAATCAATGATTGTCGTTTTTCTCAAAACAAAAACAATAAAACATATACAATAACCGTTGACAAATGCTTTTGTTTTGAAAAAGAAACTATAAATAAAAAATACACCGCAGCTTAAGTTGGCAAGTGGCAACTTAACCCAGACAGCTGTATATATATTTCATCACAAATTGCGAGCTGCGACCTGAGAGGAACCTAATCCATACAAAATGGAAACTTTGCTCCTTCCCTTCCACGAGATTCAAGCATTATATCACATGTCGCCCCTTTGCCACAACTCCCTATCTTACATGTGTCCTCACACTTTATATTTTTTTTTTTATTTTCCTGAAAACACTTGCTTTAAATCAACCTACTAGGTATTTTCCCCATAAATTAATACTAAAGTGAAAACAAAATTATAGATTGCTTCCTTCAATCTACAAAATATCCCAATACTATTACAAATGTTATGTGGCTGGTCCTTATAGTTTTAAAATTTAATATGATTGGTCTATATGTATAACACCATTAGATTTCCTGCAATGAACAATGTTTTAGGTTTCCTTTGGAATTTTAGAAAATTATATTTTCTATTTGAGTTTTCTGCCAGAAAAAAGATGGTAGCCGAGAAAAATGAGATGGCTGCCGGAAACAATATTGGTGAAGATGATGAAGTAAAGTTTAAAGAATAATAATATAAAATAAACATTATAGTGAAACCCTTCGGAAAGTGTAATTAAGATGGTCGTTGATATGCCTAATTTGCATATATATTTATACTAATAAAAAAGTAGTCCTTTTGTCATGTGTCATTATATTAGACATCTTAATTAATATGATGTCACTTGTCAATCTATTAGTTCATCATTTTAAATTTATTAGACATCCCAATTAATGTGATGTTATTTGTCAATGTATTTATTCTCCATTTTCAATTTTAAAATTTATATTATTGTTTTCATTAATTCACAAATAAAAAATGTCTAATATATATTAAAAATTAATTTTATATATTTATTTGAATCAACGATTATAATTTCACATAACTAATAAAAATATCTCGTAATTAATAATTTATTTAAAATAATTAAATTAATAATTTTGAAGTTTTATTATAAAAAATTAATTAATTTGATATATATATATATATATATATATATATATATATATATATATATATATATATATATATATATATATATATATCAAAATGAATATGTGAAATTTGATGAGTATAGAAGGAAATACATGAAATACATGAATAGTCAAACTGGAATGAATTCAATGAAAATGAAAAACAAATTGAGCAACTGAGGCTTCCTAAATATATAGGATCAATCAATAACATATCCAAAATTGAATATGAATTAAAAATTGAATAAATATTTAACACATAAGAATTGGAAATCGAGTTTGAATTCCAAAGATCCTAAAATAGAAAATGTATTATAAGATGAATGTGGTTGTAAAATCGAGTTTGAATTCTTAGAAATTAATTAACTAATTTTAAATTATATACATGAAAACATATAAAATTTAAAAACATAAGGAAACAAATTAATAAGATACTAAATACTTTATATAACATGTAAATCAGAATAGTTAATTAAGAAAATAAAAAATTACCACAAAATGATAAATGAAAATTGATTTTAAGAATTAACTAGAAAATTACATGTTTCAAATTGCATGTGAATATAACAAATGACAAAAATCATTTTTATTAATTAGAGTAGATGTGTCTGTAAAGAAATTCAATTTATAATTACTTATGTAATGTATATAATAAAATCATTAAGGTACTTAACAATTTTAAACCGATTACTATACTTTTATAAATGAAAATTACATGATTTTAATATTTTTTCATTATTATTATCTAAGTAATCTCAAAATGTCGATGTTATTTATTTATTTATGCCCATATTGAAATAAAAAAATAAAGAGAAATAGTAATTTGTCATATGAAACATTTAAAATTCTATGAAATAAAATTAGAGATACCGATGTTTTGACTTGTCGCTAAAAGCGGATAAATACAAATAATGATAATCAAGTGTCATTTTGTTATTCTTTCTAAAAAAACCGTCATTTAATTTATTTTTGCTGATTAAGTGGTAGAAAGTTTTTTAATTTTTAAAAAAGAATCATTAAAAAGAACATGATCCATTTTAAATGTAGAATATAATCTACTTTTTATAAAGAATAAAATAACTTGGGCCATAATACCATATTATTCTAAAAAAATAATTTGATAAATATCTAGTGATTTATATTAATTTTCATGTTTTAGTGATTAGATTAAATTTATAACAAATTTCGCTGCCATATAAAACTTTATTTTCAAGTTTCAGGGGGGCTAAATGCAATTATAAATTATTGAAGCATAAACTGAGAACATTTAAAAATCAAGGGTTATGTCGTTAAAATGTTTCCCGTCACCTGTATAAAATTATAGATATCAATTCAATCATCCACAGTCCCACGCGACTGTCTCCGACATCTTCGTTTCTTCGATCACGATGGCCATGGATGACGGAAGGGTAGCTCTTCTCGCAGCAAAAAGGAGAGGATTCACTCGCAGCGCCTCCCACGCTTCCGATGAACTCCAGAGTTTCCGATCATGGCTCCGGTGGATGTGTGTCGATCAGTCTAATGGTTGGACTGCTTCGCTCTCGTGGTTCGTCTTCATCATCTTCACCTTCGTCGTCCCTAGCTTTTCTCATTTCTACCTCGCTTGCAGCGATTGTGATAATCGGCATGCCAGGCCCTATGATAGCCTTGTTCAATTGTCTCTGAGTGGTATCGCTACGCTGTCATTTATTTCGCTCTCGCAATTCGTGAGGATCTATGGACTTCGTAGGTTTCTGTTCTTTGATAAGCTTTGTGATGAAAGCGAGATCGTTCGAAAGGGGTATACAGAACATCTCCATGTAAGCACTCTGTTTCTCATTGGTTTTATGTCGTTTTGTTCGATTAAGTTTTGGATCTCTGGTTATGACTTGATTTGAATGTATATCTACATTAACTTGAATTAATTTATGAAATGCGAATGAAAATGATTAGTGATGAGTTATTGATTGTTGTTTTATTATTTTTCTTCTTCAGCGTCATCGCGTTTTAGGATCATTCTGGTGCGATTAGTTAAATTTTGCATACCTGGTTAGGGCTTGATTAGAACAGATTTCAGCTTTTACTTGAATTACCGAATGAATTAAACGAAAAGGACGATCGGCGTTCAGAAATTCATCGCCATTTTATTATTTTCAAGTTCATTGTCATGCCATAAGTTTTATGATTCATTGATTTCATTCCATTGCACAAATCATACTAGTCTCCTAGCGGATTATGATTTATGAAGATCGTAATCCTTGGTTATTGGGAGCTTCCTGTTACATTTGTTGATTCTTCCATGATTGATTAAATTTGGATCTTTAGTTAAGACCTGATTCAAATCAACTTCTGCTTTAAAGTGAAACGGTGAATGAATGAAACAATAGGTATTAAGAAACCGCTTGCCATTTTGTCATTCCTATTCACAATCATCACAAATTAGGATCATTCTACTGCCATTCATTTCATTCTGATTTACATATTACTATGAAGATCAAATCCTATATTTAACAAGCATCCCTTACATCTAAAATGCAGAGATCTCTCAAAATCCTCTCCATCTTCGTTGTCCCATGTTTTGCAGCCGAGAGTGCATACAAGATCTGGTGGTATACTTCAGGTGCAACAGCCATTCCCTTCTTAGGAAATGTTATAGTGAGCGACTCAGTAGCATGCATCATGGAACTCTGCTCATGGCTCTACAGAACAGTGGTGTTTTTCCTAGTCTGTGTTCTCTTTCGCCTCATCTGTTGCCTTCAAATCCTTCGTCTACAAGATTTTGCACAAGTCTTTCAAGTTGATTCAGATGTCGAATCTGTATTAAGAGAACATTTAAGGATCAGAAGGCACTTGAAAATCATAAGCCATCGTTATCGTGCTTTCATAACATTTGCCCTCATCATCGTCACAGTCAGTCAGTTCGCTGCACTTCTTGATACCACCCGCAAGAAGGCTGACCTCAGCATTTTCAAATCCGGTGAACTTGGAGTAATACTAATAATCTTTTTTTTTTCTTTTTTTTTTTTTTAAATCTGAATGCTTGATGTTTAAGTCATGTCTTTTTATGGTTTTTGTTTGTTATATTATTGTAGTTGGTGTCTGTAAGCTTGCTTGCGGGGTTAATGATATTGCTAAGGAGTGCAGCAAGGATCACACACAAGGCACAAGGGGTGACGTGTCTGGCTGCAAAATGGCACGTGTGTGCAACAATTGACATCTTTGAGTCACCGGAGGCGGATACAGAAACCCCAACTGCGGGTGGTGTTTTTGGGCTCCCTTTTGAACCACCGTCTTCTGACTTTGATGATGTTGGTAGTGAAGAAGATGAGTTGGACAACACAAAAATCATACCTGCGTATGCTTATAGCACAATCTCTTTCCAAAAAAGGCAAGCCTTAGGTACGCTTCTAAAACCATATATCAGTCAGTTGTCACATCATCAATATATTAATATATATATATATATATATATATATATATATTTTTTTTTTTTTGGCGTATATATGCAGTGACGTATTTTGAGAACAACACAGCAGGGATAACCGTTTTTGGGTTTATGCTGGATAGGAGTTCGCTACATACCATAGCCATGATAGAAATGTCCCTCGTCTTGTGGTTGCTTGGAAAAACCATTAATGAAATTTCATGAAAACCATATCTCATATATCCGCCACAAAACAAAAAAAAATAACAAATGCATGCTTTCGGAAAACTTGTTATCTTCTAGTTTTGCCAAACGGACTGAACCAGTCTGGTTCAGCCTCAGTTTCATCATGTGCACCAAACGCTACTTGAATGTGTAGAAAGGGGTGGAGAAACTCCAAAAAAGGGAAAGGTGTATGGAGAGCCATTTATATGCTTTGTTAATTATTTGTGTTGTTTCTTCTTTCTTTCATTCTTTTGTTATTTATTTCATTGCTGCGTTTGGTCACAGAGTAAACTAGTATGTAACATAAATGCAGTTGGTGATATACATGTCGTATCCAATTGCTCAGCTCTATGTATGGTTTTGTTGAAATCGGACTAAATATATCATCATATATATATATATATATATATATATATATATATATATATATATATATATATATATATATATATATTTATTACGGATTTCTGTTTATTTCTTCTTGCTCAATATAATGTTTCATGTCTGATCCCATTTCTCAAATTCCTTGTCATCATTGGCACCAAAGTTGGTTGATTCCATATCTAATGATGGAATTGAGGATTTGGAAACTTATAGTCGACAAGAGAGTACAACTTGTACACGGTTTTTGTTTTGAGAATTTGAAAGTAATTATATTATATAATTCTAAGGTTAAGAAGAGATTAATGTTGTTTTTATGATTTGCTTGTTATATGATCTCAATGGGTCTTATGGAATTATGAGCTTTAAATGATTATTCCAATGGAACCCATCGTTAGAATGGAATGAAAGGATTTCTAAATTAAGTTATGTCTCAATTCTCAAATGTTTTTTATTCAATAAAATGATTCATGAAAGTGTTTGGAAAATATGGAAATGGAAGAAACAACAATTAAGCTTACAATCACCATACAATTGGATCTAGGCATCTTGATACCATTATTGAGATTTGAATCATGTAAGGAGGAATGGAATTATGTTAATGCGGGTTGGGATTAGAATGTATTATGTGTTTAAAAGTAATGTAAGAGAATCATGGATGATCACTTATCTATAAGAAAGCAAGCTAGAGATAACCATAGTCATTGAAGACCTTAATGTGGATGAGTAATGTCTTGGTGAGTTCACTCTTGAACTTGTGAAACCATTAATTTACGTAATGGTTAAAACTTGAATGAAATGTGATTTAATAATTATAAAATAAGTTCTTAAAACTTAATACACCCCTTAGAGTCTTTTGGAAAAGTTATAGGGGGTTTCGGGTGCATTGGGACGATGTAGGATGCTTAAGTAAGATCTTAAGGACGATTTTGTCTCACTTGGCAACACACATGCCTTGTGTCCACCAAGGCAAAATCCACAAGGTGAGTAAATTCGAGTACATGTCCATATCAAATATTTCAATGAAAATTTTGGTATTATTTATGCAATTTAAATATATTGTTTGCTATATGGCCTCTATGGCATGCTTTTGCATTGAATGAAAATCTTATTTTGGAAATGTTTTGCTTAAAAATGCAAATATTAGTTTATGTCTTGTTTGGGCATCTTACCTGTGTATATCATGTTGGGATGAGTTTGTACACTTTGAATGATTAATTTCCTAAAGTGTGAAGGTTATAATACCCTCGAGCAACCTACATGGTGGTCATGAAGAAAGAAAGTCTTGGCATTTTAAGCATAATGCTTATGGATGGTAGTTGCAACTCCATTCCATGAGAAACATGTTGATTGTTGCATGTTTTTCGTAAATGTTATGTTTAGGATTTGTTCGTTAGTTGTGACCTTTGTGGTGTTGACTTCACATATTAAGTCAACCGTAACAGGTTGAAGCAAATAACTTCTACCTAGGAATAACCTTATACCACTTGGATCCCTAGTATATAAGAGACCTTATTTGAGAGTATAGAACTTGGGTTGAGAATTAGATGCATGTGCATGTGCATTGTTTTTTATTATACAATTCCTTTTAACACTTAAATATATATTATGTTGAGAAATGACATGGAATGATTTTGAGACTTTTGAGAAATGTTTTGAATTGGCTTTTGATGAAGAGGAAAGTGTTGGAGGCGATTGTTTTGACTGTGATTTGGGGACCATGGAGATATTGGAATAATGTAAATATATCATATCGTCAATTTTCTAAGAAGCATTATATTTTGACAAAATTGTTCAACTTTTTTTGCAAGTTTGTCAATAGGTACAATAAAATGAAAATCGAATGGATTTTGTGGTTACAAAATTGATTATTAATATCCGTATGTAATTTTGTTCATTTCTAGCTGCTTACTGGTTATTTCTAATAAAAAGTTGGTTGATATTTTTTTTTTCACTCTAAGTAATTGGTTAATAAAACAATAAGACAACAATTTCATGTTTGTTACAAAAAACCATATGTGATTGACATTATATGTGATACATAACACTCTATAAATTATAAACATATCTCAAAAAAGTGAAACGAAAACTAAAAATGATAATATTCAAAACCTTTGAGAAAACATACAAGTCAATTATTGTAACTTTGAATATAAATGAATAAGCATTCACAAACATAAGAGATCTATATTTCTTTTGTTAATTGAATTATATGAACATAGAAACTTGTATATGATTGGTGGTTTAATAAATATATGAATTATTTCCAAACAATTTCTATATGGTAGATGAATGTTTGGTTCATTTTAAAAATCTCTCATGCGGATATCCATATGAATAAGGAACTCAATAATTAGATGCACAATTTGTCCTAAACTAAATATAACTACTTTTGGAAGTTATGCCATAGAGAGTCAATCAATTGGGAAGGTCAAACAAGACATGTTTGGTATGAATTACATGTAGGGTCGATGGTGTTTAATCGGAGAAAACCAGAAATTGGGCAATTTTAAATGAAGTTAATTTATTTATTTATGATACTGTTTTATATTTATATCTTTTAAATAATAATAATAAAAATCTGTAAATTCAAGATCACTCAAAGGTTTGGCGCCTCGCACGACAAGCAAGGGGCAAAAGGGCAAACAAAATATCTTGACTGCAGTTTTCAACTTAGCAACGTCGGCGAGATCTGGAAATTTGGGGATTTTGGTAGATTCTCAAGTGCTGTATTTAAGAACCCTGATCTGGAGTCTATTAGAGAATCTGTAATCTGTGTATTCATAACGTTTGATTAAAATGGAGATTGATTCAGCATCGATTAGTCGGTGCTCTGCAGAACACCAGAAGATCTACAAAGACTGGTTCAGTGTAGCCGATTCAGGTTTCATTTCTCGTTTTCTATCTTCTTCGTTTGGTTTAACTGTTTTTTATGCTTTTTGATCTTAATCTGTACTATTTTTAATTCCAGATGGCGATGGACGCCTCACTGGTGGTGATGCCACGAATTTCTTTGTCATGTCCAATTTATCTCGACCAGATCTCAAGCAGGTTTTGATCTTCATCTCTATTATGCTCTAACTATTTTTTTTTTTCGTTCAATGGAACTGTGGATTATTATAAACCCTAGGTTCTACATAAACCCCTCTTTTATCCGAGCTTGAAAAGAACAGTGGGATGAATTTATTTAGCTATCTCGCCATGTCTAAGGGTTTTACGTCCTCAAGTTTTGATCATTAATTTGATTGCTAAGTGTGCTCATAAGGGCACCGATATTAGCTTGTAGTTCTCTTTCTGCTCTTCTATCTTTGAATCCCAATCTGTTCTAACTATTTCTCTACGCTTGTTCATACTACTTCTTAAGGTATGGGCAATTGCAGATTCTAGACGACAAGGCTTTCTTGGCTTCAAAGAGTTTATTACTGCAATGCAGGTAGTTTTGTTAGCTTTGTCTTCTTTATCTTCTATCCACCATTTCTGTATACATGACTGATGATCCTTTTCGGTGTGTGTGGTGATTGTAGTTGATTTCTATGGCACAAGCAGGACACACATTAAGTGGCGACCTCTTAAATTCTGATGGTAAGCTGTGTAACCACATCTTCTTTTCTTTACACTTTTAACATGTAAATATGTAATATTCATACCTTTGATTACCTTTCTTGTGTTCATGTTATCTTACAATGCAGTTGATTATGAAAATTTGAAACCACCTGTGATGGATGGTCTGGATGTCTTACTAGCTGTATGTATACCTTTCTCTCACCTCAGCTGTATGCATACCACTATGAGCCTAAAAACTAAATATTTTTCTTGAAAATTAACTTGTTTGTTAATGTACGCAGAAGAAAAAGCGTCCAAAAAGTGATCCTGAAATGAATGGTAATCCTGAGGTGCAAACTTCATCATCATCTAGTTGGTTTACTTCTTCAAAATCTGCAAAGAAAGTATGCTTTTCTGTTCTACTTCTCATTTTATTTACTTTCTACTTCTTAAACAAACGAGTCACCATTAAAGTATATGTTTTCATCTCATATTATTTATGCATTATCAGGTTCCTTTAACTGCTGTTACATCAATCATTGATGGCTTGAAGAAGCTGTACATTCAGAAGCTGAAACCTTTAGAAGTCACATATCAATTTAATGATTTTGTTTCTCCTTTATTGGTAAATTAACACCAACCCATAATCCCATATATTATAAACCATCATGTGAACTATCAACCTTTTCCATATTTCCTTTTTATATAGTTTTTTCAGAATCTTACCATGTTCATATGTTTTTGTAGACAAACAGTGATTTTGATGCCAAACCAATGGTGATGCTTTTAGGTCAATACTCAACAGGGAAAACAACCTTCATCAAGCATTTGCTTAGAAGCAGCTATCCAGGTACCCCCCCCTCTCTCTCTCTCTCTCTCTCTCTTTGTTATATGACTTAAGTTTTGACCATTTTTCTAACAGGAGCTCATATTGGACCTGAGCCTACTACAGATAGATTTGTTGTTGTTATGGTATGCTTTCTATCTCCATTTTACTTTTTTGATATGATTCTTAATTGCAGTTTGATATGGGTGTCTAGCAATCTGTTCAAAATTCAAAAAGGGTAAAAATGTCATTTTTCTTTTTCCACAGAATGGACCAGATGAAAGAAGTATTCCAGGAAACACTGTTGCTGTTCAAGCAGACATGCCATACAGTGGTTTAACCAATTTTGGAACTGCTTTTTTGTCAAAATTCGAGTGTTCTCAAATGCCACATCCCGTTAGTTTCCAATTTCATTACAGATAAAAAATTATTTTTATTTATTTATTATCTTTTAAGTTTTTGACATGTGTTATGTATTTTGTGAATAAAAAAAAGCTTCTGGAGCATATTACATTTGTGGACACTCCTGGAGTTTTATCAGGCGAAAAGCAACGCACACAGAGAAGCTATGACTTTACAGGTGTCACGTCGTGGTTCGCTTCAAAATGTGATCTAATCTTGCTTCTGTTTGATCCTCATAAACTTGATATCAGTGATGAATTCAAACGTGTCATTTCATCTCTTAGAGGAAATGATGATAAGATACGTGTGGTGTTGAATAAAGCCGATCAAGTCGATACCCAACAAGTATGAAATCATTTGAAAAAAAAAAAAAAAAAAATCTAAATCTTATACTTGTTCATGTTTAATTAATTTATTAATTTATTGTAGCTTATGAGGGTGTATGGAGCTCTTATGTGGTCCCTTGGTAAAGTTCTTAATACTCCAGAGGTTATGCGTGTATACATTGGGTAATCTTTCTACATATAAAAACACGCTGAGTGTAAAATGACCATTTTACCCTTTTGTGTGATTGATCTTTTTTGTTTTGTTAGTTCCTTCAATGACAAACCTATAAATCGAGTGACTGCTGGCCCGATTGGAACAGAACTATTTGAGAAAGAGCAAGATGATCTTTTAGCCGACTTAAAAGACATACCTAAGAAGGCTTGTGATCGTAGGGTGAGTTTATTTATTTATTTATTATTTTTTTTATAAATAGATTTTCGAACGCAAGAGAATTTTTTATTCTATATATTTTCCATTTTTCGATGTTGTTTACGTACAGATCAATGAGTTTGTGAAACGTGCTAGAGCTGCAAAGATTCATGCGTTCATTATTAGCCATCTTAAAAAAGAAATGCCTGCCATGATGGGGAAGGCTAAAACTCAACAAAAACTCATCGATAACCTTGAAGATGTTTTTGCAAAGGTTCTTTCTTCTGTGACTGTGTACTGTGTACTGTGTACGGATACTGATGGGGGTTTTGTGAACAGGTACAAAGGGAGCATCATTTACCGGCGGGAGATTTCCCATATGTAGAAAGTTTCAGGGAGAGATTGAGTGGGTACAATTTGGACAAATTTGAGAAATTGAAGCCTAAAATGATCCAGACTGTTGATGATATGTTGGGATATGATATTCCCGACCTTTTGAAGAATTTTAGGAATCCCTATGATTAAGATTTGTGAATGTTTTATAAATTATGTACCGTGGTGTGTGATTTCTACTTGTTTATGTATTAATGGATAGAATTGAGTTTTGTTTTGTGATTAATGAGTAAAATGATTGGTGATATCAACAAAAAGGGTTTGTAAAAGAATATACGGGTTGAAATAATTGAAATATATTTTATGGAAAGGCAGAAATTATATTAGATGACTAGAAAGAGCTAGACAAAATTAAATGGAAAAACTAGCAAACCCAATTGAGATTACAATTGGTGTGTCTATTACTAATCCACAAGAAACATTATCATCAAAGATAGTTAAATTAATGATATATTGATCTAAGAGGTTAAACTCGGAGGATGGAAAACCAACAAATTATTGTTCTTGTTTCGTATTTCAGATACACGAGTATCACAATGCAAATTTAATGATTTACAAATAGTAAGAATTTTTTAGAGCATCAACCGACTTTTAATAGAAGAACCTAACAATGAGATAGAACAAGCTAACGAATAAAACGAGACATTACACAAGCTAACAACACTAATCATGCCAATCCAAGCTAGCAATCTTTGCTTTAATAAAGAGGTTAACTGAATCTCATCGTCATCTCTATGGGACTCTTCAAGTTCTTGAATCTCAAATTGTTTCTAGTTTCGAAACGAGCAACACATCACCGCTTGAGCAAAAGCTCTATTATTTATTTATTTACTTTTGTGAGTCCAAAGGGATATCAAAAGAGAAATTGTTGAAACAAACTCAAATGGGAAAAATCAACACCAAAACGTGTAGCATAGAAAATTACATCCCTCCGGATCCCATTATTCACTTATTTGAGCATCTTGATTAAAGGCTAAAGCAAAGAGCCTCTCGAACCGCTCCCTAAGAGGAATATTCAAGCACCAAACATCCTTCTACAAGATAATCAAATTGGGTCGATTCAGTCCCTCCTTTAATCCCCCGACGCCAATGAAAATTACATCCCTCCGGATCCCATTATTCACTTACTCGAGCATCTTGATTAAATGCTAAAGCAAAAAGCCTCCCGAATCGCTCCCTAAGAGGAATATCCAAGCACCAAACATCCTTCTAGAACCTTGTTTGAGTCTCACCCCCACCACTCTATACATGTAATTAGAAGGAATACAACCATTCTCATGGATGTGATTAATGGATCCTACAATCTTTTGCCAAACACCCCCTCCAATTCCTATTTTCGTATCTTCCGAAAAACCATCACCTTCCCCATGACAAAATTTGACAATTTAAACCCGAAGAGCTTCATTGTCATTAAGAAACCGCCACTTCCATTTATAAAAAATGCCGAGGTTAAAAACATCCAAACTACCAACCCCAAGACCTATAAGTTTTTTAATTAAAAAGTAAAAATTTATTATAAAGGTTTATAGTTTTATGGGATAATAACTTAGGAGGGTAATAACATTTCCTGTTTGTCCATATTAGGTCCCCAACGTATTTTTTTGTGTATTTTACACCATTAAGGTTGTTATAACCGTTTATAAATAATCCTTTTACCGGCTTCTTCCTGTAAAAGGACTATTTGTAAACGGTTATAATAACTTTAATGGTGTAATACGCACAAAAAATACGTTAGGGACCTAAAATGGACAAACATGAAACGTTATTATCCTCCTAAGTCATTATCCCTTTATTAAATTTCATATGTTATTTAAATTTAATAATAAATGCATATCAATTTCATTAATGAACTTTCCTTATAACTTCATATTTTTAAACTAAAATCTCATTAATTTGCTTTGATTATTTTATCTAAATGATTTGTTTAAAATTAAAAGAGAAAAAAAAAACACTTTAATTTTAGTAATTCGATATTTTTCTCATTTTTCTTATTAATTCAAATTTCTCAAATGTTTATACATATTTAATTGTTTTAAATACACCCATGTAATACATGGGGCTCACACCTAGTGATGAATAAAACAAGGCATTACAACGAGATAGAACAAGCTAACAACACTAATCATGCCAATCCAAGCTAGCAATCTTTGCTTTAATAAAGAGGTTAACTGAATCTCATCGTCATCTCTATTGGAACTCTTCAAGTTCTTGAATCCCAAATTGTTTCTAGTTTCGAAACGAGCAACACATTACCGCTTGAGCAAAAGCTCTATTATTTATTTATTTATTTTTGTGAGTCCAAAGGGATATCAAAAGAGAAATTGTTGAAACAAACTCAAATGGGAAAAATCAACACCAAAACGTGTAGCATAGATTTTAAGAAGCTGCAAAAGAACGAATATAACAATTAGACAATGTAAATACCAGATGAATGAGTTTCAGATGAGTTCCAAATCTGAAAAAAGAAAAATTAAATGCATAGTGGGGGTGAACAAGCACAAAACTATTGTTTCAATCATGATACAATTATTAAACGAACGGGATTTTCTTGTTCATGTTCGTTCGTTTAACAAATTACTTTGTTCATGTTCATTCATTTATGTTCGTGAACATGCTAAACGAACATAAACGAACAAACATAAACGAACAAAGCTAAAATAAACACAATTGAACATATATGAACATAAACGAACATATAATATAGCAATATAATGAAAATTAATTGAATATAGATGAATATAAATAAACTTAAACGAACGTAAACAAACATCATAAACGAACGTTCACGAACATAGATGAACGAATGAGACCATTGTTCATGTTCGTTCGTTTAACTAAACGAACGATAATTTTTGTTCATGTTCGTTCATTTATTAAATAAACGAACATAAACGAACTTCCTGCCGAACAGTTCACGAACGGTTCGCCAAACGTTCAGTTCGTTTACAGCCCTAGTTATAAGATATCGTTTTATGCCAACTATATAATAGTAAGTGTCAAATCTGTATTAATTGTGTAGTGTGCATGACATGATGAATAATTGCATCAACTACATGTTTTAAGGGTTTTTTTTTGAGTGTTTTTTGAACTCTAAAAGTGCTTTTAGATAAAGTGTTTATTGGCTTATAGTGGTGGTATAATGAGTTTTTTAAAAAGTGTTTATATTAGCTTTTACGGTGAAAAAACCAATAAATCGATAAGTTAAAAAGTGTTTGGCTTAAAAAATATTTTTTGAAGTTATTTTGGTTAAATTTAAAAAATATTTTTTTGAAGCTAATTAAAAAACTATTCTAAAAAGTGTTTTTGAGTTTGCCAAACAATTTTTTTGATTTATTAGCTTTTCAAAAAGCCAATAAACCAATAAGTTGTTTTGAAAAGCAATTACAAACACCCCTTATATGTACTAATATACAATTTGACTGACAATAGTTAGTCTGTTGTTTGTCATTTGTAAAATATTGCCTATATAAGGATTATTGATCATATGAAATAAAACAGAACGAAAATTTGTGAAACGAGTTTACTCTTTTATTTGTCTGTTGAAGTTTTTAACTTTTGAATAACAGATCATATATCCCAAAAAATATCATCCAATAACTTGACAAGCACAAGCCGACGAATATCATACAACTCAAAGATCACATCATTAGTAGGGATGATACGAAAATTTTAAAGATATATGTTATGTTATTCAAAAGTTAAAAACTTTACAAGAAATTTAAGTAATTACACAATAGTAAAAAAATATTAAAAAAAATTAATTACGATTTATTTATCTAGAATGAAAAAGTAAAAATTGGAAAATATGTGTTACGAGACAAACTGGGCATATGTACCAAGATGAAAGATAAATCCACAATAACTTTTCATATTAATAACTTTTCATATTGTAAAAGAAAATTGTTTTGAGTCTGATGTGAAATTCGTACAAAGTTTAGTGGCTATTTTGAAAATTAAACATACATGATTTAAATAAGCCTAAGGCGACCACCAGCACTTGCTCTCTTCTTCAACAGGCGGACTGCAAAAGATCTTACAAGTTATATACCCACCGGCGACGAGTTATCTCTGCGAAGAACCAACCTCCCTAATCCCTATAGACCTCATTTGGTTTGGTTGCTTTATAGGTGTAAAATCTCTGGTATGATCCCTTAAATTCATATACTTAAACGTTGCAGCTGCCCAATTCGTTTAAATGTTGTAAAATTCACTTTTAGTTCGTATAACTGTTATACACATTTCATTTGATAATCATATGAGCACGGCCATCGTCTATTGTGGGTTATTCAATGGTTGTTCTTTCATGCTTTGTACTATTCGGCAGATAGAAACAGAAACCCCAAATGAACACCAGGTGTTCGATGAAATTCCCAAAAGAAACATCTTTCATTTTTTTTTTTTTGAATCTATGTTAACAAATGCTCCTTTTAAAGGAGGAAGTCGTTCTGTTTTTTGGTTTATTCAATTGCATTTCTTTAAATTGCTGTAAAATCATATGTTCATCTTAAACAGCGACAATGTTACCACAACGGATGAAGAAGGGTATCATGGATAACCCGAAGAAACTTGCAACCTTGATTGATCTTGTTAACTTGCCTTCGACACTAAGAGAATTTGTTGGACAATCGCAAAGTTCTAGATTAGGTTGTTTTCGGCGTGTTTGGTCCTACATAAAAGACAACAATCTCCAGGTATTACTTACTAATCTTCTTAATTTCCAACACTTTCTTTTGTCTTTTCCTTTTATTTTCATATATAGTTAATATGTCAAATATTATTACAAAAACTATTACTAGATTAATGTTACTACTGTTGTTCCTTGCTATTAAAGATTGGAACTTTTTTATTTGTGTGGTTTGATTTGTAATCATTAACCAAATTGTTGAGTTAATTTTTTTTTCTTATGATGGTATTTTTGTAATTTAGGATCCAAAGAACAAGAACATAGTCCATTGTGATGAAAAACTGAAGAGTATTCTATTGGGAAAAACTCAGGTGGAGCTAGAGGAACTTCCTATGTTGATCAAGCTGCATTTTCCTAAGAACCAAAAGTGATTAATGTACTGAAGATGATTAAAAAAATAGTACTATTAAATAATAGTAACCAAGTTTTATAGTATATGTTTACCCCAAAACTTTTTTTAAGAAATTTTGCTTCTAAAGTTTCCTTTCTGCTCAATTTTTATGAAATCATGTTAAACTATATAACCTGCTTGACTGATGACGTGGCAATGATATGATAATGATCAGACAAATAGTTTAAATATTATTAAGTGGGTGTTTGGGATTGCTTATTTGAAGTGCTTATTGACTTAAATATGGAGTTTTTTTTTAGTGTTTTGATAAAAAGATTTCATCAGCATTTATTGACTTAAATAAAGAGTTAATAAATTGGTTATTATACATATAAGCTTTAAATATTTGAATACAATTTATGTGGATTTCAACCCGATTTTTTTATGGATACATTTTTGTAGGGATGATTACTCAGCATGCCGAGCTCAACTCACCAACTTGGTGACCAAATGCTGAGAGTGAGAAATTGAATTGACCAATGGGGTGGTTCGCAACGACTACTTTCTCATTATTTATTTCATTAGTATTTTTTATTTCTTTTTTATAAAAAAAAAAAACTCCTATAAATACTACCACCTTACCCTTTTATCTCATCAAAATCATTTTACAACTCAAATATTTTCTCTTAAAATCTCTTCTTCGTCATCTTTATCGAGCATGTTTGATACCTTGTTTGAAACGACCATAAATATCAATCAGGAGGCGGAACAGGAACAGAAGATCGATGAACTACGGCAACAAAATGCAGAGAATGCACGCCGGAGGAAGAGAAAATACATACAAAGATATCGTGAGGTGGCTAATGAATGACTTATGCATGATTACTTTGTTCAGGACATCACGTTTCAAGGATATTATTTCCGTTATCGGTTCCGTATGCATAAAGCTCTGTTTTTGCGTATCATCAACAACATCATGACAACATGTTCATTTTTCAGCAAAAACGGGATGTTAGAGCTACAGTTGGTTTTTCTTCTATACAAAAATGCACCATTGCAGTTCGTCAATTAGTGCTTGTCACTTGCTCCGATGCACTAGAAGAGAATCTTAGGATGTCCAGATGTACTGATATCCAAGAGTTGTATGTTCATCATTCAAATGTACGAACTAGCCTTCACAAATTTTGCAAGTATGTCATGAGATTATATGGTCCACGATATTTGCGCAAACCTACATGTAGTGATATCCAAGAGTTGTATGTTCATCATTCAAATGTGTACAACTTTCCTAGAATGTTTGGAAGCCAATATTGCCTCCACTAGGCATAGGGTGGTTGTCCGAATGCTCATAAAGGGCAATACACTCGAGACGATCATGGTTATCCAACCATCATAAATGAAGAGGTGGCCTCACAAGATTTGTGGATATGTCATGCATTCTTTGGCTCTACTGACTCCCTCAATGACATTAATGTTTTTAACATGTCTTTCTTATTTGACGACATGTATAAAGGGACTGCACCAGATTCTTCCTTTCAAGTATCTGGAACATTGTATAGGAATGAGTATTATCTTGTCGACATGATCTATCTGAAGCGTGCTTGTTTTGTGACGTCATTATCTTGTCCAAATGATCGCAAAATGTTGAAGTTTAAGAAAGCTCAAGAGAAGGCGAGAAAGGATGTTGAGCAAACATTTGGGGCTTTAAAAAAAAGTTGACATATTCTTAAATATCCCACACCTTATTTGGAGAAGAAAATTAGTGAGGTGATGTATACTTGTATCATATTGTATAATATGATTCTCGTAGACGAATTAAATGCAAAATGTGAGTATAACGAAAACGAGATCATTCCACCGACACAAGCTTTTGAGGTTGGAAACCCGGAGTACTCGGTGAGGAGAGCAATAATTCATGATGTTGAGACGCATCATGTTCTTTATAGGGACTTGACAGAACATATTTGAAACGTCGACCATATCGATCTTAACACCCAGCCGGTCGACGATTTGGAAGGTCAATTTTCTGATGAAGATGTCTTTTAGATCTATCTAGGTTTGGTAATTTTAGTTTCTATGTTTTTTATTTTTAACTCTTAAGTGTTTTTTTTTGTACTTTTTGTTGAAATTTAATGAAATTGTAGTTTTACATTAAGTTAGTTAAATTGATTATTCTTAATATAAATTAATTAAAAGAAAAAAAGAATGACAAATATAGCAACCCACGCTATGAAAATGACAAATGTGGCAAGAAACGTGACAAATATGATATGATGTTGATGTTGACCGTGACAAGTATGACACCACACTCTCCAGCCTTATTAAAAAGGGGAAACCTTAAACCCTAAACCATATGACACCTCAAGAATGTAAACATCACCAAATTCCACCCAATTATAGCATTCTACTTTCAGTTTATTTCATGAAATTATTAGAAAGAGGAAACCTTAAACCCTAAACCATATGACACCTCAAGAATGTAAATAGCACCGAATTCCACCCAATTATAGCATTCTACTTTCAATTTATTTCCTACCGAGACTATAAAAATCGACAAAATTGCTATTGTCATCGAAACAATAATATCACAACAAGAAAAAATAAAAGTAAAATGCCATAACAAACAAACAAATAAAAATAAATTGCTATTTCTCACATTCAATAAAAATAACAATTTCATTGTTCAATTATCATCATCTCCTTCACTTTTCCTCTCAAAGCTCACACTTCTAAGACTCTTTCTATACTGAGGAGATGTTAACCTCCTTTCTAATGGCGTTTTCCTCTTACTTACAACAAACCGATTCACCCCCTTTCTCATTGGCATAATCGATGGAAAATCTTCATCAGGAATTTGACTTAATTCAGAAATATCCTTAATCTGTGCAACACGTCTGAACCACCTTTCTGCCTTAGCCTCTTCAGACATATCCAACGGATCAGATTCAATCACTGCTGACCCCTCTAAACTTCTTAACTTGTTACCTGATTCTTCACTTACTAGGGTTTTGTTCCCAATTGATGACCTGGAATCCACGTCATCAGTTCCTGTTTTTTCTTTCACACATGTGTTACTGTTATCATCTTTCTTGGCAAAATAGTTTGGTGGAAATGGGACAAAAGGAACATAGGTGCTAGAACTTGGTTGGTGTCGTTTAGGAGAAAAGGGTATTTCTGTCTTTTTGTTTTCTTCATGAGAAAGAGAAGTTTTTGGGTCTGTGACATTGTGCAAATCTTTCATCTTCTTGAACCATGTTTCTACTTTTTCTTCTTTATCAGGATCTTGAGTCTGCTTGCTCTGAAGATGATTGGAATTGTTGCTGTCTATGGTGACAGGAGAGGGGGCATTTCTGTCATTTTGTCCTCTTTCGATTGTCTTGGTATATCTTGAGTTATCAACTGGTCTGAGCTCCTCACATTCAAGGCATTTAGTATTTCTTGCAAAGTTCATGAAGTTGCATCTGCTCAAAAAGAAAAACTCTATCTGTTCACATGTGTAAATCAAGAATTCCTGTATAATGAATCAAAACATGAAGTGTAACTTACTTTGGGCATATCCAATCACCTTTCTTCATGGTAATATTTGGTCCGAGATTTCTTGAAATTTGTTCTTGATACTGCTCTGGTGATCCAACTTTACAGCTTATATTAGCCATTTCTTGTAACAAGTTTCTGACAAATGATACAGTAGCTTCCTTAATGTTTCTTTCAGGATAAATGATAGGATTGCTTGCATAACTTACTATGCACTTCATCAAGTCTACTGGTCTTGCTTGGAATGATCCCCCTGACTTCAATTTGATATAACAAATAAGATCACAAGCAATTTGTTATGATTGAATGAGACAAACACTATCAGGAGGGAACCTGTAAGAAGGACCTAATTCTTCTCTCGGTTTCATGGGCATCTTTGAACAGAAATGGATAGCAATCATTGATAAGCAGCTCGATGTCCTCCCTTCGAAGCCACCTGAAAGAGGATTCGAATGAACAATTAGATGTCGAAATTGTTCTCGATTTCATTTTTGCAATTTGCATGGGAGCAAATGAAGTAGAAATCTAGGGTTTAAAATTCCATAAGATTGGTATGATATGATGTATAAGGAGATGATATTTAAAAGAATAGAAAGAAGTTCGAATTACAAACCCTAAGATTAAAGGTCTATCACGAGCAAAGGCCAAACAGGAATTCGCAGCAGCGACAAACTCCATTGATAATTTCTCATTCGCAACAATTTCATCCTCGATGTTACTGCTCCAGTTAATGTAACCTAAATTGGATAGAGATTCAAGTAGGCGGTGCCACTCCGGCCATGGATGAGACAGTGAGACTTGGTAGTCATTAGCGGGAATATGATTGTAATCTTGCCAGGTATTATCAGTCGCTCTGGAGTAAAAACTATGCGCGAAATTGATCGGAATAAGTGAATTAGTGCGAGTGAAATGTATGAGGTGGTTGGAGGCAGTGTACAGGGTTGCAACCGGGATGGCCGGAGAATGACGGCGAGCCAGGCCGAAGATAGCGAAAGGGCGGTGATGAAGGAGAGATTTCGGATAAGTTAAGTGATAGAGCAGTCTTGACGAAGCTCTAACCATTTTCTCGGCGTACTGGGAACAGCCGGCGACTACCGTCGATGGAAATGTCACCGGAGGAGAGTATCTGGTAGTTAACCTAACACAGGTCACTGGGTATCCACCCGGAGTACCGGAAAACCCGATATTTATTCTTTACCGCCGGGTGGGAGGCCCAATTTGCTTCGACAAAAGCCCGATATAAGTTGTTCTTAGCTCTAATTCTATAATTATAATAATATCTAGATGAGACCAAAAAAACCGGAACCGAACCGGTCAATGAACCGGAAACCGGTTTACCTCCGAACCGGTTCAGCCTTGAACCGAACCCCGGTGAACCGAACCGTGAGACCGAACAAATTCGATAATTTGACCGTTAGGACCGGTTTAATAAGAACCGGTTTTTGATCCGGGTTTGAACCGTTTTTTTGATCCGATTTTGAACCAGTTTTGAACCGGTTTTGCATA